GAGAGAGAATCATCAATCGGCAGCCTCCTGCACGCCCCCCACTGGGGATCAAGCCCGCAACCCACGCTTATGCCCAGTCCGGAATCGAACCCGGGACCCTTCAGCCTGCAGGCCAACGCTCTGTCCACTGAGCCACACCAGCCAGGGCGTCACTGCTAAGCCTCAGTTTGCTCCTGTGCAAAGTGGGGCTGGTGATGGGACCGGCCTGGGGGAGGTTGGACGATTGGTGAGAGGGGGCGCAGGGTTGGCATGTGGTCAGGGCTCCAGCAGCCTTACTCTGATGTCCCCATTACTTCCTGGCAAGGCAGACACACAGAAAACCTCTCTCTAGCTGTTCCTCTCTCTCTCGAAGGAAACATGTCCCGGCCCGTGACGCCAAAGACGTAGAAATACCCCGTCCTTGGCCAGGAGACAAGCAGCCCAGCGCCAGACGCCGCAGAGGGTGAAGGCGGTGGACAGCTAAGAATAGACGGGGCATGTGTCCACCAGGAGGTCAGGCCGACCTTCGCGAGTGGTAGTCGGGGGCGGGCGGAAGCCGGGGCCGGGGCGGAGGAGCGGGGGCAGGTGAGCCAGGGAGGCAGCAGGTGCTGGGCACCTGCTCAAAAGCTTGGGGGCGGGAGGAAGTTGGACAGGGGCCGTGGGTTCCCGTGGGGGTTCACCGAGGTCAGCTTCTGCCGGCGGCCCCGTGCCCCGCTGGGGGGATCGCGGGGGGCTGCCTCGCTCTTGGGGGGCGGCTACCCCGGCGAGTCCGTTTGTGAAAACGCGTGAATGCACCCTGAAGGCCTGCGCCTGTAGAAACAGACCCAAAAGCAAAGACGTGGCTTCTGGGAGGCACCAGTAGGGGGCGAGCGAGGTCCGTGGCTCAGAGAGAGGGTTGTGTCTCGTTTTGAAAGTGAAAAGTTTCTGAAAGTAGCCAGGAGGAGGAGATAGAGATGAAGCTGCGTTTTACATGTGGGGAGCCCTTGGTTATGTCGCCCCCCGCCCCCCATCCTCCTGGAAACCAGAGCCGCATAGACTATTCCCGTGTGTTCCAAGCTCTGGGCATCACCTCGCAGCAGCCCAGCCCCTCAGCCAGGCCCCCTGGAGGTCCCCAAAGGAAACTGAGCAGGCCAGCGTCACTCTGGGGAGGTCCCCAAGGAAACTGAGCAGGCCAGCGTCACTCTGGCCGGGACTCGGGCCCAGGACGGTCATGGCTTCATCCTCCGCGCACGGCTCCCCGCAGCCCGCCCGTTCCATTGACTTATTCCTGCTTATCCCGTCAGTCCCTCCCCTACACGGGCAGCCACTGTCATATGTCATTGCTGTTTGTAGGAGTTCTTTAAAATTTATCACTTATAGATTGTTAGTGATCTCCTTTAATTTTTGTTTTGTTTTGTTAATCCTCACTTTTTTTAGAAAGAGAGTGGAAGGGGGGAGAGACACAGAGAGAGACCCCCCGCCCCCCATCCTCCTGGAAACCAGAGCCGCATAGACTATTCCCGTGTGTTCCAAGCTCTGGGCATCACCTCGCAGCAGCCCAGCCCCTCAGCCAGGCCCCCTGGAGGTCCCCAAAGGAAACTGCCCCCTCTCCGCCCCCCCGGATCCTCCTGGAAACCAGAGCCGCATACACTATTCCCGTGTGTTCCAAGCCCTGCGCATCACCTCGCAGCAGCCCAGCCCCGCAGCCAGGCCCCCTGGAGGTCCCCAAAGGAAACTGAGCAGGCCAGCATCACTCTGAGTGGGGGGCCGCCGGGACTCGGGCCCAGGACGGTCATGGCTTCATCCTCCGCATACGGCTCCCCGCAGCCCACCCCTTCCATTGACTTATTACTGCTTATCCCGTCAGTCCCTCCCCTACGCGGGCAGCCACTGTCATATGTCATTGCTGTTTGTAGGAGTTCTTTAAAATTTATCACTTATAGATTGTTAGTGATCTCCTTTAATTTTTGTTTTGTTTTGTTAATCCTTACTTTTTTTAGAGAGAGAG